CGCCTGTCACCCAGAGGGGTAGGCAGAGACTACAGACTTCCATTTGGCACGATCCTGACACACCTCTCTCGCCTCCTTCACATTCATACATCTACGCATGCATGCTCGTCGGTTAAGGGTACTCCTAATTTGGCCCGTTTTCAATAAATAGCCAATTTGGTCGATAAATTTTCGCCTAGGACGTCCCTTTCCGACTCTGCCATTTACTTCTGCAACATAAATTTTCTTTGTCACTCTTTCCTCATCCATTCTTTCCACATGACCAAACCACCGAAGCATTCCTTTCTTAATCCTGGTCACAACATCATCTTGCAAACCACACTCTTCTCTTATCACACAATTCTTCACCCTGTCATTCAGATTCAGCCCTAACATACTCCTTAACGACCGCATTTCTACTGCATTTATTCTACTCTCGTGCTTCTTCTGCCACACCTAACTTTCACTACCATACGTTAAAGTAGGGACCAACACAGCATTGTGAATTGCCATACGTGCCTTTTTTGACACATTTTGACTCTTCACAATAGAGTGCAGAGCCCCATGTACTCTGTTTCCTGCGTTCACTCGTCGTTCTATATCCTTATCATATCTCCCATCCCTGCTAAATACGCAACCCAAATATACAAACTCATCTACTTGCTCGATCAACTCCCCATCTATTCTATATATTTCACATATCGTTTTACTTTCATTTCTTTCAAAAACCATAATTTTCGTCTTACTTGCGTTCACTTTCATACCCCTTTCTTTTAATGATCTGTTCATTAATGTAACCATCATTTGCAACTCAGCCGCCGACGACGCAAGAATAACTTGATCATCGGCGTACAAAAGGCATTTGATGGTTAACTCACCCATTCTTAACCCGCATTCTTCAACTTTCAAATTTTGCAAACAACTGTCCATAAATAGGTTGAACAACCACGGGGAAGCCACACAGCCCTGTCTGACACCTTTATGGATGCCAAACCAGTCGGAGTAGACCCCGTTGATCCTAACACAAGCACTAGAGTCCCTATAAAGAGATTCCAATGCCTGTATCAAGCCAGCGCTCAACCCAAATGAGTTCAGTGTTTGCCATAGCACATTCCTATCCACTCTGTCATAGGCCTTCTCCAAGTCCATGAACGCACAAAAAACCTTTTGGTTTTTGGCCAAAAAACTTCTCTGAGAAGACTTGATCTGTACATCCCATTCCCTTTCTAAATCCCGCTTGCACATCCCAAATTTTTCCATCGGTTTCTTTCATGACCCTTTCAATTAGTACCTTGGCATACAATTTTCCCACGATGCTAAGAAGGCTGATACCGCGGTAGGTTTTTACAGTCCTGCTGCGACCCTTTTACCTTATATACTGGGACTATCACGGCTTTGCACAAGTCTCCCGGTACCCGCTTCAGTTCCCAGCATACATTAAACAAGGTGTGCAGCAGGCCTGCCACCACTTCCTCTCCAGCCCTTAGCATTTCGAGTGAAACTCTATCATAACCGGCAGCCTTACCTGCTTTCATGCTTTTCATTGCTTTCATTATTTCATCTATACTTATCTCGCTACCTCCTTCCTCTTCTTTCGGAGTTCCTGTTTCATTCAGTTCATACGTTGTCTTCTCACTCATAAACATGCTTTCAAAATATTCCTTCCATCTCTTTAAACTCAAAACTTCATCATTCAGAATATAGCCATTCTCATCTCTTATAGCATTCATTATAGGCTGTTTTGAACGTCCCCTGGCAGTTCTTATGAGTTTCCAGAACATTTTAATATTTGCCTGGAAGTTATCCGATATTCTTCTATCATTCTTATCCGTTATTTCTTGCTTTTTCCTTTCAACTACTTTTTTACTCTTTTTATTTAGATGTCTAAAGACTGCCTTTTTTCTTTCAAAATCATCATTCGTACCGCTAGAATTACCAGCCTTAGTTGCTAGTAAATCTAGCCACGCTCTCTTCTTTGCTTCAACTTCCGTACGTATCTCATCATCCCACCACAAAGTATTATTTTTCCTTTCATTCTTTCTTTTACTAACACCACATACTTCGGTAGCTGCATCTACTAAACCTTTCTTAACATTTCGCCATACATTCTCCAAGTCTAACTCATTCATACATAATTCATCCAAACCACTTACGTTTTCTTTCAGTCTACATTTAAAATTGTTTTTCTCACCTTCATCTTGTAAACTTTCTGTTCTAATACGCTGTAACGCAGTGGTAGACACAGATGACCGATGGCGCCACCGCCTGAATAGACCATTAATTCGGCATAAAACCAAAAAATGATCCGTTCCTACGTTTGACCCCCGGTAAACCCTTTTATCCACCACTGCGCCCCTCAATCTTTCATCCACAATTATGAAATCTATCATGCTTCTATCATCACCTCTTTCCCAAGTATACATGTGAATCCTCTTGTGGCGAAAGAAATTGTTCGTCACAAAAAGATTCTTTTCCATACATACAGTGAGGAGGCTTTCACCATTCTCATTTATACTTTCATCACCAAACGTTCCCAATATCCTTTCATAACCAAGCCTCCTCACCCCAACTCTTCCATTAAAATCTCCTAGCATAACAACATTTTCATTTCCCTTACATTTCATTAATACCATCCTTACCATTTCCCAAAACTGCTCTCGGATATGAGTGGGCTTAGACATGTCTGGGGCGTAGACCCCTAGCACAAACAACTTCTTTAAGCCCACTTTCAATCGTATCCATAGCAGTCTTGGGCTTACACATTCATACTCTTTCACACATTGCACCATTCTTTCTGATAGGATGATACCTACTCCCTGGCATGCCCGCTCGAGCTCGTCTACACCAGACCAGTATGCGGTATACATGCCATGTGTAGTGACATCCTTCCCCTTCCGTTTCGTCTCATTTACACATAACAAATCTATTCCTCTATCATACATCACCTCGCATACTTCATCCATTTTATCATTCATTGCTCCACATACATTCAACGTAGCCAGAAGGGCCTCTGCAATCCACTTTTCGCCCCTCCGGGAGACAGAACGTGACGGGTGGCGAGCCTCGTCGCCGGTTTTCCTCCCGGAGATTCTTCGCACCCCTGCCCCATTAAAGGGGCGCCGGGAACTCGGGGCCATTTCTTTAATTTGATTCCTCATGGTGCGAATGGGATGGTATATTTAACGCCGCTACCACGGCGAGGAGCCGAGTCTGTGCTATCGGCTTGTCGCTCATTTAGCACCACCCGGGGGACACGTGTAGGGTGGGCCTAGGATTAGGTGGTCAAAGCCTACGGACGCGAGCGACTTATCCCCCTGATTTTTATTGATATAAAAAAAGCATTTGACACAGTAAGCCATCATAAATTACTGAACTAGGGGCCCTCGAAATGTTCACATCATTTTTACAAAATAGGCGACAAGCTGTTCAAATGGATAATTTTACTAGCTCGATTAAAAACTTATCCTACGGCTGTCCTCAAGGCTCAATTATAAGTCCATTACTGTTTTTAATTTATACAAATAATGTAAACAACATAGCGCTGACAGGGCACCTAACATTATATGCCAACGACACATGTCTCTTCTATTTCAATAAATCTATTCACAACATTATAACCTATGCTCAAAAAGATCTTAACTTTCTCAGAGAATGGTTAAAATATAACCTGCTAACAATTAATATGTCTAAAATATCTTTCGTGATTTTTTCTACAAAGAATAAACCTTTAGCAGAAACCTTTAGCAATATAACAAAACGTTCAACTCAGGAAACATTTCTAGGTGTATTGGTAGATGATAAACTCACTTAGAGAATGCATATTGATCACGTCAAATCAAAACTGACGTCATTACTAAGTGCATTACGTAAAGTCGCAAACTGTATTCCGAAAAAGGTACGTACAATTATATACAACTCTAGTTAAATCACATATCGAATATCTAATTGAGATATGGGAATCAGCCACTAAATCAAATCTAAATCCACTTCAAAGGACACAAAATAAAATTATCAAAACATTATCCCAGTATCATTATTTAACTCCAACAAAAGTACTGTTACGAGCTTGAGGTTCGTGACAATAAAAATTGCCGATAGAATTACCTAAATTAACACTTTAATTTTATTTACATTATTATACATTATCTATTTAATTAATGCGTTCTCGGTTGTATGCGGAGTCCCCAAGAAACTGACTTATTAGCAGGGAAACGAGTAAAAGCCAGAACTGCGGGGCGGGTGCTGGCTGATGTTAAAAGAGCCCCAAGGATCTCGATCTCACAAACCTATGATGGGAACAGTCTAATCATCAAGGGCGAGGTCAACGGAATGGCGTGTAAACTGACCATAGACACTGGAGCCTCTCGTACGGTTGTTAGTTCCCAACTTATAAGTTAGTTCCTTGGGGACTCCGCATACAACCGAGAACGCATTAATTTGGTAACAGCCACCGGTCAGCGTATACCCGTCCGTGGAGAGAAAGAGATGGAGTTGAAGCTAGGCAACGTGATCTACCTGCATAATGTCATCGTGGCTGATATAATGGACGACTGCATCCTAGGCCTAGACTTTATGAGGAATAATTGTTGTGAGATCGACGTTAAGCAAGGTGTTTTGAAATGTGGACAGGAGGAACTTTTTATGGAAGGTGCGTTACCAGGGAACGTGTACAGCATTAAGAAGATTGTTCTTCCGCCGAGATCGGAAACGATTGTTCCGGTTAGTCTTCCTCGAAACGCTGGGCAAGCCCACCGTTGTGTACTTGTGGAAAGGGTAAACAATGACCTTCCATGGAAAGTAGCTCGAACCTTGGTCAGGACCACTGACATCTCAGGAGTACGTGTGCTGAACCTTTGCGACCGGGAACAGATTATAGAAAAAGGCACACTGGTTGGTACTTGTGAGGAAGTGGATTGGTTACGTCGGTGCCAATATATATCTAGTGGCAACCCAGGCCCCAGCCTTGTAATATGGCCGCTACAGGCAAGAAATCAAAGAAGGCAAAATGGATCAAAGCCAACATGGGTGTCATCATTGCGGAGCCGACGACGATAGCGACGACAAACAATTGGGCCGACTCTGTAGATGAAGAAACTGAGAGCTATGGTGGCTATACAGCTCGGCGTCCGCCGGTGGTACTACCATCGGCTTCACGAGCTGCACGAGGTGGTATGGCTGTTGATGAAGAGAGCATACCGCGCCACCCACCATTCATCGCTCACATCTCAAACTTGCCCTATGATGTGGAGGAGAGTGCCATCGCTGACTTGTTTGCTGGCCTCAAGATTACCAACTTGAGACTTCCCCGTGAAGGTGGTCGCCTCAAAGGATTTGGCTATGTGGACTTTGAAGACAGAGAAAGTCTTGTTAATGCAATGAACATTGAAGACCTGACAGTTGGTGGCAGGAGAATAAGAATAGAAGTCTCCGACAATGATAACGACCCCCGTATGGGCAAAAGTGGAAGGTCTGACCGTGACGGGGATTACGATCCAGAGCGCACAATGGGCGACTGGCGGTCCGGACCGCGTGCTCAACCAGAGTCTCAGGCGCGGACTCGAACCATGGATAGAGACCGAGAACGGGACCGTGGGAGATAAAGCGGTAACAAGTATTTCATGGTTGTGATGGATTACTTCACTAAGTCCCCGGAAGTCTTCGCCATTCCAAATCAAGAAGCTTCAACAGTTGCAGATAAACTAGTTCTTCGTTTCGACAACGGATGGCGCTGTCGGTTGAAAGATTAGTGATGTAATTTTCTGGAAAGCTCTTCCCTCGCTACGTTACCCGACACTAGATAGCGCTAGTGCCAGATGTCAACTTAGCCGCGCAACACTGCCCCCCTCTTAAGACATGCTCGTCCCGAGCATTATCGGCCCCATAATAACGCGCCAGGCGATCCACATGGACGATCTTAGGAGTCCCTCTTGCGCCTTTCTGTAATGGCTCTCCAATATCAAGGGCTGTCCCATCCCATGGTGCACCAACATTGTACAATTTCGGTGCTCCTCTACTACGTGTCTGAGGTCCCCTCACGGCCGCACAACTTGTACATGTACGACACCAAGCCTCGACATCGTCACGATAATGGACCCAGTAAAACTGTTCTCGGACCTTCAGCAGAGTTCGTTTAACTCCCAGATGGACTCTTGAACGACCATTATGGCACAGCTGTAAAACATTCGGCACTTTAGCTTTAGCTTTACCATTTGCAAACGACAGCTGTCTCCTCGACAATTGTCCCATTTAAGACACAGGACTCCATCCTGAATCAGCAAGCTGTCCCATTGGGCCCAATAGCATTTCGTGGTTGAACTCATCGCTGAGACGTCGCTCCACTTAGGCTTGGTAGCACGGGCCTTCATCCACTCCAGAATCGGCTTGATGTCTGGATCTTCTTGCTGTGCATGTCGTAGGCTGTCCTTCCACTCGTTGCTGAGGTGGTCTGTCCTGAGCACTGTCACTGCATCTGTCCTCATGGATACCACTTCCTTACTCTCTTGCCTAGTACAATGTTTCCGATCTTCAGGACAAGGTCTTCTTGACAATGCATCTGCGTTGATATGCGATTCTGATAGTAAAGTTGTATCCCGGCTGCTGCTGGGCGGTGATGTTAGCCGCACTTCCCTTCTGAGATCGTTCACCTTCCCTTTCTAGGGTTCGCTTAGGGCAGCTGAATCGAAGATGGCCCCTTTCCCCACAGCCATAGCACCTAGGGCTGTATCCTTTATTGTGGTCGCGAACGTGCTGCAACCTCCCTAGCATGAGGGGAATGATGTTGCTGCCACCGCCAGGCGGTGCCGTTAGCTGCACTACCCTCTCGAGATCGATCAACTTCCTTAAGCGTCTCGTGATGCCCGAGCCTCACAGCAGCTCTGACTTCCAGGTCGCGGATGCCGTCGATTAATGTCTGCACCAGGTTCCCTTCAATGAGCGCAGGTACAGACCGGTATGCTTTTCGCACCAGTTTCTCCACCTCTAGAGCCCACTGCTGCTGGTTTTCGTTGGGTTCCTCTTTGTTCACCGTGGGAGACCAAGCCACGGCCACTAAGCCCCCCCGCCACGACAAGGCGGGAACCCGTTCGGGGGGGGGGGAAATATCCATACCTTGTATTAATGTTCAACTAATTTTCAATATTACCTTTCCTTTTGTCGCGTTTTAATAATTTTCTTCAACAAAATGTAGGGCGGTAACCGTACACGACTCGAACGCCATACAAAATGGCCGACTTAGTGGAGTTGGCTGTCAAAATCCTATATTTCCGTAACACACGAAGTTGGCTGATTTTCTAATAGCGATTTATGTAAAGAATTGTGATCACATCGGAGTTGTCGTTTTTGCAAATCACGACGAACTACTGTTGCGTACAATTTATACCAAAATATTTTTTTGACTAAATGTGGAGTTGGCTGGTTTGCCAATTAAGGTATCGATGTGTAGATTGGGTAGGCAGAACTACAAAACGCTATGAACGATTTTTATAAAAATAAAATTTATATTTGTTGGCGTAAACTATTTAATTGATTTATAACTTTGGGAAATAAATTATGTCAACATTGATTACAATATTACGCAGTTTTATTTTATTACATTACACTATTGAAATTTTTTATCAAAACAGAAGTACTTATTTGAAGCAACATAATTATACTGATACATGCCTATTCACTCAAAACTAATAACACTGATGATTTGTAACAGTACCGATTATCACAATAATTAGACATTTCATAACCAACACGTAAGAAACTATAATTCACAAACAAGAGATAACAACAAATCTATAACACGATTTATTTTGTGATAATAACCAGGAAGTTTGAAAATAATATTTCCTAATTTCGAAGCACTCAACAAAAGCTTTTAGTAAAACAAAAATATAAATCCTATACCTACGAGCAATTCTTATATATATAATCGGAATCTCGGAAACGGCTCCAACGATTTACATAAAATGTCGTTTTATCCCCGTTTTCAGGCAATGAAAAACTGCTACAATATAAGAAGGTAAATTTTTTTAACACTATAATAATGGTCGTAATAGCTCAACTGGATAACGCACTGTCGCGAAATCGTAGTTCCATGGTTCGCGACTTGTCTTAGGATTGACTTTTTTCCCTTTTTTTACAAGTTCCCTTTTGTGAGAAAATCTATTATTTCGAGCCCTTTTTGTAGTGTTTTTTTTTTAAAAAATATGAAAATTTTATTGCACTCATGATTTTTCATTTTAATAACCAGTTCAGTTTTTTTCTATTATGTCAGTAAGATCAAAAAATATTCTTCATATTTTATCAGTATGTATTTTTAATCTAAATATAACTTCCAAAACACACGATTTCCAAAAAAAAAAAAATACCGAGAAATGCTCGGTCATCCAGGTACTATACAATATAATATATACAAATCTTCCTTCAATTCTATACGAATAGGGTTGCGTTCGGAACACAAGATCTAGAACACTAAAATGTACAAAAATTTACTTATCTTTTTATTTCAATGTTATCTTTATATTCCTGGTAGAATTGGCCAACGAATAAGAAAAATATAACTCAGATTAGAATAAGCTATTTATTTATAAACAATAAAGCACGGAACAGAAAAAAGGATTTTATGTAACTGAATTATATTTGTTTCTGAACGCATCATAAGGTGTGACGTAGTGACGAGTGAACTTGAGCTCTGCAAAATATAACAAACTAATAATGTGTGTCTTTCTGAAACTGTTTGCAAAATGCGTAAAGGGTGTTTAATGTAACCCGGCAAAACCATATTTAGCAAATGTTAGTAAGTTTAATTTTGTGACTACTTTGGTAGTTTACCGATTTATAATAATTGTATTTATTGTTGATCAAAAACATATTCAAACACATTCATATATGAAACACTGACACGTATGACGTAGGTAATCAGTATTGTGACGATATTTCAGAAAAATCACGGGCCAGCCTGCTGTTAATAATACTATCGAAAACATAATTGCGTTTTTAGAATAATTAATTACTATACCTAGGATAAATTACAATATAGTCTCAAATATATACTAGAGAAATATTGCAATTCGAATTAATGAAAACATACATACAAAATATGTATAATACACAAACACAAAGAAATGCCGCGCGCAAATCATAGCGCGTGACAACCGAAATCAGAATATTATATTTTATACAAGTCAAACAAGTGAACGTACGTAAGTTTGGCAACGCTTTTGTTCCGTCTTGCTTTGTTCTTTAGTACCGTAGACTTCTCTGTCTACGGTTAGTACTCTTATCACTTTGTTGTCAGGAAGGACGGCAACGTCGCTTTACCTACGACTTTTGGTATGCCACACAACGATAATAAGTAATAAAATTGTTTACAAAAAAACATAGGTGTCCAAGGTCATTAGTTTTATGTTATTTTATACTGTTTTTTTAACGGTATGAAAGGAAATTAACCAATTATAGAACTTAAGATATTGATTTATCAGAATTATTTAAGATCACTTGGATGCCACCTAGAGTGCCAATGTTTAAACGACGCCTTTCGTTTGTTTGTCAAAAGTCACGCACACTACTAAAGAAGTGTCAAATTTTTCCGGGATTTCACTATTGTTTTTCTCAGTATATAATGTAAGTTATTGCCTATAAAGGTCAGAGGCGTACACATTTCATTGTAGAGAAGTGATAAAATGATTAGTTTTGAAGAAAGATTGTCTGTGTTTAGTGTATATTTTGGTTAAAAAATGTATGGGCGGACGGTCGATGCATCCACCTTAATATGTTCTAAATGATTTAAGTGGATGATCCCCTTTAGGCTTTGCACCCATCTATCAAACGCTCTGTATAATTAACATATTATAATTATAGTACATTTATGAAAGTTTCTCACAGCATTTTTAGTAGAAGCGGAGTCATAAAGTTTACAGCTCACTACCGCAGGAATTGCACATTTTCGGCCTTTTCCAAGAAAGTAGGCTCTTTTCTTGAATGCCTCTTAATCGGTCCAGAAAAAACCGCTTCCGACAGTAACTTGCACAATGTGAACCTCACGGCTGTGAACTACTGATGTGGATGTTCGTTTTAAACTCATGCAATCTAGCTAGCCAGCACACCGCTCTATTATGACTGGCAGTAGCCAGTAGTAGTAACCATGGATAGTAAAAGAACATTGAATGCTTATTTATATTTGAGTATGTAAGCGTAACATTTCTATCATACATATGTATATATACATATACATATACATATACATATATATATATATATATATATATATATATATATATATATATATATATATATATATATATATATATATATATATATATATATATATATACGGAACGGAACAAAAGCGTTGCCAAACTTACGTACGTTCACTTGTTTGACTTGTATAAAATATAATATTCTGATTTCGGTTGTCAGGCGCTATGATTTGCGCGCGGCATTTCTTTGTGTTTGTGTATTATACATTTATTTATTTATTTTATATATACTTTATTGTACACCACACATATACAACGAATAAATACATTACAGAGGAAACTTAATATATACGTATGTACAATAAGGCGGTCTTATCGCTAAAGAGCGATCTCTTCCAGACAACCTTTGGGCT